CTCAGCTTCCTCCCCAGACCCCACACTCTGACTCCCTAGTGCTGGGATTAAAGGCATGGAACACAACACATGGCCTGCATTTGATTTGAGTTTAAACTCAAGAAAATCCTAATTGCAAACAAATTAAGGCCAGGCGGTGATGGCTCACGCCTTTAATCCCAGCACTTGGGAGGCAGAGGCAGGTGGATTTCTGAGTTCGAGGCTAGCCTGGTCTACAGAGTGAGTTCCAGGACAGCCAGGGCTACACAGAGAAACCCTGTCTCGAAAAACTAAAAAAAAAAAAAAAAAAAAATTAAAACACATACAAAATCAAACTTACATACAGACATATCTTAAAACATGAATAAGATTTAGTTTGGTAGGTAATATTGAATAAAATTAAAGCTATATGCTTTCATAGCATACCTCAACATCCTTAATTATGGGGACAAAAGGTGACAAGACACTCTTGTGCTTGATCGGCTAAATCACCGCAACTGAACTGTTCCAAGGAACTGATAGGTTGTTTTGTGACAAGACTTTTCCTTGGGAGATCTGTGCAATGCACACATCTATCTATTCATCCCAGATGGGGAGTACACAACAGACCAACATTTGGATATCATCTATGAATCATGAGTTCTACTAGGGTTGCTTACAGGCATATGGATGAGGGGTTACTTACAGGAGCAGAAATGACTCAAAGACAGCTGCATCATCAAAGCCTACTTCACCATGGTTCACACAAGCTGGTAATCCTGTGTGAACCATGGCTCTATACAACCAGCAGGCAGCTCAACAGGTTGTAGAGTGTCCTTCCTAAGTGACTCGGTTGATCTACACCTCTTCCAAGCAGCTGAGCTGGTTTCTGCTTCTTCTGGACAACTTGGTCTAGTCCCAGTCTTCTTTGCAGCTTGGCATTTCTGAGAATGACTCTTAGCAGCTTTATTGCTTATTCCAGGAAGACAAGGCCAAGAGAATCTGGTCGATTTCATGTACTTCCTGAAGTTGTTTTGAGTTGTTTACTTTCCTGCTTAAGGAGCTTCTTTGCTGGATGGCATGTCTCAACCTAGGAGGAAACTGTCACACAATATATGCTTATATATTATGCTTAGATTTACTTTTACTGTTTGGATTATGTTCTGTTTTGATAAGCTTCTTTGATTCATGGGTCTAACTCATCATTAATGTCTTGCAAATATAATTCACTGACCTGATAAATCTGGTCAGTTTACTTCAGCATCTGGAGTCCAAGGAGGGGATGGGGAAGTCCTACCTTTATAGTAATTTAAAACAAACAAACAAACAAACAAACAAACAAAAAACAGAGTCTCACTATGTAGCCTGTAGCTCAATATATAAACCAGGCTGTCCTCAAACTCACACTAAGGTCCTAGAATTATACACCAGCAAATCTAGCTGTTAGCTTGCTGGTCAGCCCATTTGCCTTCCTCAATGGTACTCAGTAAAATGTCTCCCATTCACTTATGTATTTTTTAATTGTTCATTGTGGAGTCAAATTATGTAGTTCTGCCTGGATTAGAACTTGATATAGGCAGCTGGTTCAACCAAGTGGTTTTTCACATAATCTTAAGATCACATATTGGATGAAAGGCCCCAGTCTTCTATACCAAACCAACCTACTACATAGTTCCTAAATGTTAAGAGTTGAACTCTAAGATGATATGGGTATTTAATTTTGCTTTTCTGAAGCCTAATGTGTGTATGTGTGTGTGTGTGTGTGTGTGTGTGTGTGTGTGTGTGT